GGGGGCTATGGGGCATGTGCTTCTCCAAAGGACCAAGTGCTAAATGGCTTATTATTATGATTATGATTATTATGATTGTAACTTTGTTATTGTGCTGTTGTAAGTTTTGTTTTTGCAACTTTCCAAATGGCAACGCGGCGTATGCGTAATGTGTTTGTTTACCCGCAACATGAGCAGAAGAAGTCCCTAGAGCCAGTGCCCAAAACATATAAAATATCGAAGCAGACCTGGAAAAGAAAAGAACCAAACCAAACCCAAAAAGAGATGCAGAGTCAAAGAGTTATTGCTCGCTCATGCATAAATCATACGTCACGTGGGCCCAAAGTTAAGCTGCTTCCCACAGTTCGGAATTTTAAATGCTTTTTTGTTTAGCATTTTGCTATTTTTCATATTTTGCTCTGTTAATCTCTGTGCTTTACTGTTGCTTTACTGTGAAATCTTTAATTTAAACAAATGCCCAAACAAATGCCCAAAAGCTAAAAACACTATACATCCAAAAAAAAGCTGCAGATGTGAGTGTGGGAGAGATGGGGGCACTGGACTAGACGGCCCGTAAAAATCTAAACCGAAAATCTACACCATGCTAAACTAAAAACGAACGTGCCATGCGAGCAAATAAGCTTAAAAAATAACAAAAATGTTGATAAAATAAAGGACACATAAAAAGCAACAAAATAGCGAGCGAAAAATTGTTGAGCTCTCGCTGTGGGAAGAGCTGTCATCGACTGGCTGACTAGCTAGTCAGTTCACTAGCAGACTGAATGTCTCCCATTATTGTGGTTGTGGTTGTTGTCTGTTGTCACTGTCTCCAGTTGCTGCCGAGTTGTTATAAATTCCATTAAAGCGCTCCTGACCAGCGCTCGGACATTGACATGATGCTGGAGAAATGGAAAAGCGTGTATGAGCGGTTTTGTCACGAGAGGTGTAGGTGTAGGTGTCAGAGGACCGAGGAAGCTGTCGTAATATGAAGTGCTCGCGAATACTGACGAAAAATTCCAGCGACTTGAAGTACCAGGTTTTAGGTGTTGCCAACGCATTGCAGGGGACTGAGCGCCTGAAACTATGCTACATTGACGCAATGTACTGTAAGCGGCTTTCAAGGCTGCCCAAAGCAAATGAAGTGGACACTTGAAAGACTGTAACCTAGGCACCCTTATCCGATTCCATGCTGCTATATTTTTAGCGGCCCCCACAGCTTTTGACTTTGTTAGCAGGAGAAGCAGCAGTGGCAGCAACAACAAAAACGTAAACCATCCGCCATTGCCTTATGTTTTCGCATGCGCTATTTTGTGAATCTATCTTTTTTTAATAGAAATTTATTTTATCAACGCTTTTTGTGTTTCCGCTGTGGGTTCGCTGGTATTTTGTTTTGTTTGTTTTATGTTCATACACTTCCTCATTTTTAATTTATGACAATGGCGCGGCTATTGTTAGCGCCGGCCACGCCTCCCGCCCACTTCACAGTGCTATTGTAACTGATGCTCTTATACAAGTAAATGGCCGAAACGCGACCCCCACCCCGCCTTTCAGACAGTGGCGCTAGACAACAATTCGTTTGGCGCTTTTATCGCGTTGCTGGAGCCTGCTGTGAAGGATGTGCGGGGAGGAGGGGAGGGAGGCGGACGTGCACGTACACTTTGTATATCCGCCAATGGTTCGCGCGCCTTTGTCCTTGACTGTTTCATTATGACAGCGACAGCCTGCCCCTTGTCGACGCTGCTCCCGATTTTGGTTTTGTTTAGTGCCGCATTTATGTTATTAAAACGCCATGTTGTTGCTGTTGCCACTGCGTCTAAAACAAAAGTTGAGGGCTGCCATTATTATTATCATCGCACTTCCTCTTCCGCTTTTCGCGCACAACAACACAAGGACAGAGCAGATAAAGCATTGCCATTGATGCTCTTGACTGATTTCGAGTTTATTTCATTAAGTTACACACACACACACACATCCACACACACAGAAACTAAGCACACAAAGCACACATTTAAACTCCCACATATGTAAGCGGAGCAAACACATGACGAGCCTTTGTTTCCCGAGAAGCATAAAGGAAGAGTTAAGGAAGGGGGCGATTGTACGAGCACGCAATCAATAGGGATTTGCTTTTATTAATTAACACCGCGAATTCACTCAAGCCTAGGGCTGTGCAAATAGAGCTATCATTGAAACAACATCTGCTTTAATGTTCATGAATTACTTAGCTGATGAATGCCTGAACTTGTCAAATTAGAAACAGGCTCTTTACAATTCAAAATCGATAGCGCTCATTTAGAAAATTACTTTAATAAATAGTTTTCACTTTCATCATAAAATTATTGACTATATCATAAGAAACGAGAATGTTTATTAGTAGTAATATCTTAAATCATTATCAGATTATGGTTCGCAAATTTTGTGGTTCTTAGTAGTTGGCGATATGTTATAATATTTATAACTTACTGGGATTAATAAAGTATTGAGTATTTGTCAAATATCACGTAAGTCAAACTGAAAGTGAAATAATACAGAAATTTCTAATATTTAGCCTTAATAAAAGATTGCAAATACTTAGAAAATTTCAAAAATCCTACAATCTAAAGCTTCAAGTGAGCTTTTTAAGTATATAATGCCTATCTCATCAATCAGATATACAAGTTATTTTGTATCTACATTTCATTCATTTATTTTGAGCAACAAAAAATAGATAACATTCCAATAATATGAAGTCAGCACTGTATATTAGCAAGCTCAGCACTTCATTCAAATTGCTGTTCTGCAAACAAAACTCGAGTCTTGTGAACTCCACATTTCTGTACTCCCCATAAGAGTATTTGCATGCAAAAGAGGGAGTGCAATCGAAATAAAATTTGCGCATTTTCGCCACGCATTTGATGTTGGCGTTAAAAAAAATTACGACCTGCCTCATACATTTGCGCATTTGAAGGCGCATTAAGAGTGCACGTCGGGAAGGATTTATGTACGCAGCGAGCGCGAAGCAATCCATGGAGTGGCATTGCCCCTATAAATATGCAATTATTTTGCATTTTTCACGCGTGCGTTTGACTTTTTATTTATTTGCCAGCGCCGCCCCTTTCGAGGTCCTGAGTGTGCGGCTTTACGCACATTTTGCTATGTTTATGACACATGCGACGCTTTTCTGTTATTTTTTCCATTTCATTTTTTATTTTCTGTGGCAATAGCAAATTGACTTTTACAAGGCAGTGTCGAGGGAGAGAACGATCGTGGGAGGAGGGGGATTGTGAGGGGGGCGGTGCGAGTGGTGTCATAGCTGGCAACAATAATAGCAACAATAACAATTTTGTGGCAAGCACATATCTTTCGTTTTGTGACATATTTATTTGTTTATTTATATTTATTTATGCGCATAATTTGCATTTGACATATTTTTATGAGAGTGCCGGGCAACATTGAGACATGTGTAAGCATGGAACGGCTGCAAGGACAGATTGAGCCTGAAAGCAACAAATTAATTCATAAAAATTGGGGCTTAAAAATTGCATTTTGTTGTTTATGCGACTACAAATTTAAAATATTCTGACAATATCAACACAATTACAGAATCTTCAAGAATGAATTTAATTCATAATATTTAATTATGTTAGTGCTTTTCTTAGTAAAACTGTTTTTCTAGTTCGGCAAATTATATCTCTTACTTGCCTTTTCATGAAAAAGTTAATTGCAAGTGCGCTGGAAAGTACTAAAAAGTACTATAAAGTTCATAGTTTCATTATAATTGGGTTTGTATTAATTGAACAGTGTACAGCATTTTAAAAAGAATTTAGTTTGCATTACGAGCTTTGAAAAGGCGGATGGTTGGCAATGTTTGCCCAACCCTTCCTGTCTACCTAAACATGACCTCTTTAACAAAACAGAAATGGCGGTTATATTTCTTGATAATAACTAATACCTATGTGTCGAGTTTGTTTATTTTTATTTGCAATACTTTGGCTCACTTTTAAACAATTTCCCTCCTTTGTTTAAATATACTGAAGGTATTTTAATTGAGTATGCCTCATTTGCTTTAAGAAGCATTGGTTCCCAATATTAGAACAGAACTTGTCAATAAATATATAATACTAGGTTCTATGGGTTGGATAATTGAGTGGCTTCTGGAAGTAGCTTAACAGAAGCAAGAGAGCATTTTAGAGTCGATCAAGCGCGACAATAAAGAATTCCGTACCCAAAAAAACGTGCATCAGAAAAGAGAGATCGTAGTATTGGAGTGGAATTATTTCTCTTATAACTCTTCTTAACTCAGAGCCCGACACATATTATTCACGTATGCAACATTTTGGTTATGTAGCTGTGGGGGAAAATTCAAAAGACTCGAAGTGCCTAGGAATAAGGAGAGTCTAAATACCAAGCAATGCAATTAAATGTGTTTCAGGAAAAGGCAAACAATTCAATTAAATATGCGAAAGCTAAAAACATATGAAAGCCTATTCTGTGTTTTTTTATTTCTTACAAGTATGTTAAAAGTGTCGTAGCTTGCGACAAAATGGAATGCCATAATAAAGGAAATGTTGCTTTTGTTACGTTTTATGTATTTGTGCTTGATGTTACTTAATGCTGCAGCATGCACATGTTGTGCAAGGATATTATTATTTTATGCTTTATTTCACGTTGCGTTTCAATTCGCTTTGCATACTCGATAAGCTCTGTGCAAATTGTTGGATGCATGTAAAGCTGCAAGCAAAATGTTTGTTCATTTAAGATAAATTTATTGTTGTGCAAATTGTGCACAAATATATTGAATCGTTGGCAGCCGCTGGTGGTAATGCCAATGTCAATGAACAAATATGCAAATATGTAGCATACTATACTCGTATATATCGCACAAAAATAAATCGTAAGTTCGAATTGCGTTTATGACATTTATGGCAGAGTTATCTACGGCGTACCGCCCCCCCAGTGGGGCAGCCCCAGAAATGGCAACAGTTTAGCATTTTAATCGTGGGCATAAATAAGAGCTACTCACTACAGTCCCCCACACTTACCGTTAAGCGTGCCCAGCAGCAGTGCGCCGAGCAGCCGAAACAGCCAGCACAGAGGCAGTGGCTTCGACGTCGACGTCGACGTCCACGTTGACGCTGTCAGGGCTGTAGATATCGATGACGGCATCATGTTAAATCCTTTCCAATTTTCTTGTAATCCTTGGCGATCAGCACAAAGCCGTCGCAGCGTTGAGTCAGCTAGTTAAATGTCCTTCTAACTGCCGTAAAGTAGGCAACGCTTATGAGGCGCTCGGAGAACGCTGGCTTCGCTTCCAGGACTTGGTCGGGTGCCGAGCATTTAAAAGGAAACGCGTTTACATTAGCGCGATAACAAACGGAAATGCGCGCTCGCGCGAAACGTAAGTTGCAACGGTTGGGGCTGGGGTTGGGGATGAGGATGAGCCCGCAGGCAGGCGCCTGGCAGCCACAGGAGCTCTAAGAATGTAAGGAGCAGGATACGCGGCCGTCGCTGGCTGCCAGTTTGCCTGCCAAGCTGCACAGCGGCAGCTTTGCTAAATTCTCCGGTCGCACTGTTGGTGCTGCTGCCGCTGCTACTGGCTCGCAGCTTCTTCCTCTTGTCCTTATATTATCCTTGCTTTTATTATGATTTTTGCAGTTGTATGTCTCGTTCCCTCCCGCTCTTCCTGCTCGCTGTTGGTGCGTGTGCGTGTGAGTGTGTGTGTGTGTGCGTGCTGATAATATTTATGACGCTCGCGCTATTTATTCATGGGGAGTGCGCAACACGCCGTAATTTCTGCTACCATTTTATTGCCTTGGCTTCTGCACTTCCTCATCCTTATCGCGCTCTTTATGCTCGTTTCCAACGACACCGACGGCGCTGTCGTAGAAAAAGTTGTAGCTTTTCACTTAACGTTCTTTAAAAATTAACAATGCACTTTTGCTCGCTGCCTGCCGGGCAACTATTAATAAATGCCGCGCGAAAACCTTTACTGGAAAGAGTTGCACATGAAAAGCTTGCGTATTAAATATCTTACGCGAGCCCGTCCTGCCACGTCCTGTCCCATCCCGTCCTGCCATGCATCATCATGCTGTGCAGCGAAGATTTTTTGGTAGCTTACATGCAAAATCCACGTTAAAGATTTATCGTATGCCGCTACCGCTACTGTCTGGGAATTTATGTCTGTCTCGTTGAGTTTTAGAGCAGCAGCTTTGGCTTGGGGCTTTAAAGCTGCCTGAAATATTGTCGCGCAGCAGCACTGGGATTGTTGCATTTGCGATGAAGGCAACATATAGAATGCGTGTGTGCTTGTCATGCCGAGGATATGACAGCAGCATTGAGTGTAAGCTGAAACTGATCTTGGCTTAAAGGAAAACCAAAGGTAATCGAGCTCTGTATTAGTGTGGGTTACAAAAAATAACATTGGATATTCTGGAATATTGACATGGTTTCGACATACGCATTAATAATGCAGTGCAGTTTCTATTTATTTGTTTGCGAATGTAATTGAAGTCACTGTTGTAAAACATATTTATGTTTGTTTTGTATTCAAAGATTGACAAGTTTTTTACCTTCAATAATTCACCATTTTATAGAAGCATAATATTATTAAAATATTATAGTTCAATTCAACTGACACTCGCAGCTAAGTGGAATTGAACCATCAATAGTGAAGCAGGTTTGGAAAACTTTTTGTTTTCAAATAAGTTTTTAGAGGAAAAGTCAAGCCCTGTCTAAAGACAGAAAAGTGTGGCGATCTTAACATACACCAAGAAAACAGGGAAAGTAATCAAATAGCATGATTTATTTTTTGGCCAGCTTTCTACAAGGATTATCCTTGAATGCAAGCAGTTGTAATTGCTCTGTACAATGGCATCAGCATTTGAACTGTATCAAATCGGTTGCCATTGGCAGCCAATGCAGCACAGGGCATGAGCCCTATTCTCATGTCTGCTCTCAATCACAGTCTCAACAATGCCAAGCATTCAAAAGCTCATCTATAATGCACTGTGCTTTTGGGCGGGAGGTCGTAAATGCCGCTGCCCGGAAACCAACTGACAAATCGACAGTTGTGCCTTGCACAGCAAACACTTCTTCACTGCCTCCCTCCCCACCCCGCCCTCCATCCTCATGTGAGACAGCATGCGGCGCCAATTCAAATGGCTCGCCAATCGCTAGCAGAGCAGTCGACTTCGCGTGCTCGTCAAAAGCCATCCATCAAGTGTGACAGCGCTAGGCGCGCGCGCAACTTTGCATGAAATTGGCTGTGCTTAAGCAGAGGGAAGCCAGCAGTGAGTAGCAACAACAACAACAACAACGAGATTAAGGGCAATGGTAACAGCTTAGAGTGAAATACCAGCCGCTGGTACTGACTGTTTGTTGGCTGCGCCCACTCGGGCCAGCCACTTGAGACTTAATAAACGGCGCACAGCCGTCGGCTGCCGTTGGACAGCAACAAAAAAATGAGGAAAGGAAAGCACAGAACGGCAAAAACAACAACGATGCCATGTAAATAAATAAACGCTTAACTCTTTCAAAGCCAAGTTCATCATGCGAGACCGTAAAAACTGCGCCGACCGACTGCGGTATGTGTGTGTAAATTATTTGCCTAAATCCCTCGCGGCATTATCATCAATTCATCATCACACAGTGTGGCACACACACACACATAGCATACATATAGTTGAGTGGTTTGCCAAGTTTATTTAATTTTAGCAGGCGGTTGCAAAAAAAAAGAAAGAACAGAAAAACGAGAAAAGCTGCGCCAAATGTTTTGCTGGCGAATGTGCCGTAAAGGCAAAAAGCCCGCAAGTCAAAAAATGTTGCGTTGGCTGGGTGGTTCAGCGGCTCAGTGAGCGACTGTTGATGTATGAGCGTTGAGCCATTAGTGTATGTGCGTGCGTGTATGTGTGTGTGTGTGTGTGTGTGTGTGATGCGTCAGCAAGAGGTCTAGAGAGCAGACTCAGTCCGTCATCAGCACGGCCGCAGCCACAACTATGGCCACAATAGCTATTGCTTTTGTTGTTGTTGCTGTTGTTGTTGTTGTTTAGTTGCCGGCTGCTCATATGCAAGTCCATGTATCTGTGTTTGTTTGCCTCAATTTTTTGCCCGTGTGTGTGTGTGTGTGTTTATGTTTTGTTTACTGCAGGCCCGTGCATGGTCGCTAAAGCTGATGTTGCTGCTTTTTCAGTTGTTGTTTCTCTCTTTGGTTTTGCGTGAAACGAGCTGCGGCTTGGTGGCATGCCAGTACAATACAACAGCAACAAAAGTAGCAACAACAAGAGCAAGAGCAACATCAACAACTGCCGCCGCTTTCTAAACAACCCAACAAAACGCCATGAGTCAAATAAATTACCCCGACATTGTTGTTGGCGAAATTTTTGATGGTTTAATTTTGTGGAAAATAAGTTGAGCGCATGTTGGCGCATAGCGGGCACAAACGGGGGCAGTCAAGCTCACACACACGCACACACACACTCATTTATACATGAGCATATGAGCAAATAACGCACATACAAAAAAATTGTTGCCTACTTTGGTGCGCGCCTCGTATACGCAATAAAATAAACGCGTCGCAGCCCGCGGCCCCTGGCCCTCTGGCCGCTCAGCCGCTCTGCCGCAACAACAATAATAACAGCAGAAGCAACAACAACAACATTTCCGCTGTGTTCTTCTGTCTCGTAACGTTTTATGCCGCATTGCCATATTTATTTATTTATTTATTTTTATTTGCCATTTTGTTGTATTCTGTTCATGCGTGTCTCTGTATGTATGCGTGTGAGTGTGTGTGTGTGTGTGAATGCAAGCCAGCGCGCATTTTACTCATTCATTTATAAATTATTATTTCGAAATATTTTCATGCTCAGCCCCTGCCTGTGAGCCGCTGTAAGTATAGTATGTGTACATTTGTGTGAATGTCACTCGAACTGCTTTACATTTTCAATTTTTGGCCCGCGCTCCATAAACCTTTGCATATTTATTTTAAAAATGTATGAGTTAATGAGTTTTTCAAACTGTTATTACGCTGCTTCTGCGTACCTAATGTTGTTCTTGTTGCTCCTTTCGTTGCTTTCGTTGCCGTTCCAGGCAAACAAATTGGACCGGGCCGCACGTCACACTCGAATAAATCTGCACGTGCTCCCCACAAAGCCTGCGCAGTTAAAAGTCAAGTGACTTGTGACGTGTGCCGCCCACACTTGCTTTTCTCATACAACACACATTCATGTGCATTTATGTTAAGCTGTTGATTTACTAATGCCCATTGTTCAAAACCCCACCTCCTTTAAGCTATACCTTATTGTTGGCAGCCATTTAAGGTGGAATGCGTGCAGCCATAAGGGACTTACATATTCTGATACACTGTGGTTGTTTTACTCGGCACTGACGTCAGTTTTAATCAACAAACAAGCTTCCATTTCTCTTATCTTACAACCTGGCGTACATCACAAATGTGCTAGCACTTTTACCAATTAAAGTGATTCAGTTTGAATAGAAATGTGCTGAAATAAATCCATTGATATCACAAATCAATTAAAATGGAAATAAAAATAAATAAATTTCATTTGATTTCTGTAAATTTACTTCGCAAGATAAAAAAAACCGAGAGAAAGAGAGTGCAGATATTTACAGAAAATCTTTCTTAGTAATAGCATGCTTAAGCAGCAGCTACAGATCAACGGGTAGCATCAGGTGACTAGCAGGACTCAGCAGGTTGGTGGCTATTAGTGAAGATAAGTTCCACACACAACCAACCACATATATGATAGTAGCAAAGAAATGGAGGCCACATATCCTAAACACGAGATGTCATTTAAGTAACCACATAAAATATGTGGGATGGCATAAGAAAAGACAAATGTAAAACGAGAATGTAATCTATGTTGTAAAAATAAAATATTAAAAATTAGTGTGAACTGTTTGTTCTCTTTCTAGAGCTTAGCACTAATGTGCAATAAATATTGTGCATATAATTAGAAACTTTGAAATCAAAAGACCGTTATTTCTTTTGTAGCGACTGAGAGGCTGATTATTTAACAACATACACGTATGTATATACAATATGTTTTAAAGTTCAATGTTTGCTTGAGGGCCATAATCTCACCGAGCATTGGGCATGGCTTTGTAAGCCCAGTCAACAGTTTTTGGTGCTGTAAAAATCCAACCTCTACCAA